CTTTGAGGGGCTGAGGCAGGCAGATCACGTGAGGTCAGGAGTTCAAGACCAGCCTGGCCAACATGGTGAAACGCCGTCTCTAATAAAAATACAAAAAATTAGCCGGGTGTGCTGGTGCACGCCTGTAATCTCAGCTACTTGGGAGGCTGAGGCAGGAGAATTGCTTGAACCCAGGAGGTGGAGATTGCAGTGAGCTGAGATCAGGCCACTACATTTCAGCCTGGACAAGTAAAACTCTGTCTCAAAAAAAAAAAAAGGATGTACAATGTCCAGTAGCTTAAGATAAGTGCAAGGAATGGAGGGAAGTTTTTTAAAGGTGTATTGGGGCAAGAACACGAAGGGCCTTTAGTGTCATGTGGAAGAGCTTCAACTTTATTCTGTAAGCATGGCAGTCCTCAAAGGTTTGAGTAAGAGAATGGAATTCTTGCTTCAAATAAAATGTAGAAATACGGAGGACAGCTTGGTAAGGGAAAGCTTGAAACAAAGACTACGTGGGTGGGGATACATTAGTAGCTTAAGAGAAAAGGGCCTGAAGAACATTATCAGAGGCGTGGTCTTATTTGGGGGAATGTTGTAGAATTAAGGATTGAGCATCTGAATAGAGGGTAAGGAAAAAATTAAAAATTGAGCAACTCAAAGGATAAAACTACAGGGAGTTGCAGGGGAGTCAGAATTATAAAGGGAGGTCATTTTGATTTGGCATGTGGAACTTTGGAGTGCCTCTAGGACATCCGTGTGGAAAGGCACAGCAAGTAGATAGAAAATAGGTCAGATCGAGGTATGGCTTTGGTAAATAGTGTACAAAGCAGTAATTACAACAGGGAAATGGAAGTGGAATATTTTGTCTTTATTTTTATTTTTTATTTTTTTTGAAGATGGGGTTTCACCATGTTGGTCAGGCTGGTCTTGAACTCCCAACCTCAGGTGATCCGCCTGCCTTGGCCTCCAAAGTGCTTGGATTACAGGCGTGAGCCACCACGCCCAGCCATATTTTGTCTTTCTATGTCCTCTCCATTTTCTCCCGTAAGATTTAATGCTTTTAGGCCAGGCACAGTGGCTCACACCTATGATTCTAGCACTTTGGGAGATAGAGGGGTGCAGATCGCTTGAGCCCAGGAGTTCGAGACTAGCCTGCGTGGCGTAAGGAAACCTTGTCTCTACTAAAAATGTGTATAAAAATTAGCCAGGTGTGGCATATGCCTGTGTTCCAAGCTGCTTGGGAGGCAGAGGCAGGAGGACCCCTTCAGTCAGGGAGGCAGCGGTTGCAGTGAGCAGAGACCTCACCACTGCACTCCAGCCTGGGCGAAAAAGCTAGACTCCCTGTCTCAAAAAAAAAAAAAAAGAAAGAAAAAATTAATGCTTTACTGGTAGCCTTGACCTCATCCTCTCAGCCTCCTATGGACTGTCAACTTGACTGTGATAGTAAATTGGTTGCTGAATTAGAATTTTCTCGTGAAACTTATACAGAGGCTGTTTTTCCTACCTGTAAAAGTCTGTGTTAACAGACAGTTAAAATCTAAATTCTGAATTCTGATAGCAGGGGCCCAGTTGGTGAAAAGGGGGAATAAAGTTTCCTTCCTTTTCTGTGATTTGAAATCAGGTGAAACTGATCTTTCGTAGCTCATCATCTCTCCTTGCACCTCTCTCATCTCCTAATAACCCTCCTCATCTTATTGCAGGATAAACTATCCTTTGTTTTCATGGTAGAAGAAAATTTATATACCATTGATATCTCCTTCAGTTGAAGGAATCAAGGATATTTATGTATCCTTGGGTATGAAAGGCTATTTTTGTTTTTGTTTTATTTTATTTATTTATTTGAGACAGAGCCTCGCTCTGTTGCCCAGGCTGGAGTGCAGTGGAATAATCTCGGCTCACTGCAACCTCCGCCTCCGGGTTGCCTCTGCATTTCAGCCTGGGCAACAAGAGTGAAACTACATCTCAAAAAAAAAAAAAGGATGTACAATGTCCAGTAGCTTAAGATAAGTGAATTCTCCTGCCTCAGCCTCCTTACTAGGACTTCAGGCGCGTCACACCACGCCCAACTTATTTTCTGTGGTTTTAGTAGATGGTCTCGATCTCCTGACCTCGTGATCCACCTGCCTTTGGCCTCCCAGAATGTTGGCATTACAGGCATGAGCCACCACGCTCAGCCTATGTTTAAATTTTTGAGGAACACTGGTAAACTAAATACATTTTAACATCACAGAATTGCCTTGCTGACCATCTGATCCCTGGCTAACTCCTCCAGGTTATTTTCTCATTGCTGGACTTCTTTCCTTCTGAATCTAGAAATCCCCTAGAAACTGTTCCAAATGGAAAAGAAAGTATGCTTGTATTGTGAATGAGATGGTGGAGGAGGCAGAATTGTGTAAACACAAATTATGTGTAACTCAGGAACTATTTGTTTTGTTAACTTGAATTATAAAAGTGTCAAATTCAATAACAATTTAAGATTTATAAAAGGTGTTGAGGCCGGGCACGGTGGCTCACACCTGTAATCCAAGCACTTTGGAGGCCAAGGTGGGCAGATCACCTGTGGTCGGGAGTTCAAGACCAGCCTGACCAACATGGTGAAACCCCATCTTTAAAAAAAAAGAAAAGGTGTTGAATTTACTGAAGGTCCACTGTTAAGATTTTAGAATTCATTTTCTAAAGCAGGGTTTATAATAATGTGGGCTTAGTGTAGAACTGGCTACATAAATTTTAAATTCCCTCGTTAAAGGAATAGATTATGTGGCATCAGTAAACATAGTTTCTGAATTTAGTAATGGTAAAAAGGGACAAAGTGGGACGATTGGTAGAAGCAACCTACATACTTTATGAAAATCAGATGCACATTTATCAAAGGAGGCCACATGTTCTATTCAGGCTCCATTTAATTAGAAGAGGTTAGATCATCTTGAACATTCAACAATACTTTAAGGCACGTGGGGAGGTGGAGAAGGATCGGGGGAAAAAAACAATAAAAGACAAAGTGACATTAAACAATGATAAAAATACCTCATTTCTCTGGTCATTCACACAATATTTTTATGAATGAAGAAAAGATTCAGGAAAGTTAAGTAATTTTTCATAGTTTAATACAGATTAGCACTCAGAAGACTGTGGTATTTTATGTCTGGTTGTAAAAATACTAGACAATCACACTCCTCCAAAGCTGCTTATATATACATGGCTGTTTCTACTAAATTACTACAGATAGTTCTCTTATTCCAAGATTAGAGTTTGTTTTTTTTATTTTCTCTCTTTTTTTAATAAAGGTGGTGTTTCACCATGATGGCCAGGCTGGCCTTGAGCTCCTGACCTCAGGTGATCCACCCACCTCGGCCTCCCAAAGTGCTAGGATTATAGGCGTGAGCCACAGCGCCCAGCCTTTTTTTTATATTTTTAACTGCAATAGAGAAAGGTAGAGTTTGTTAATCTGACTTTGTCAAATCAAATTCACAAATGTGTTCTTGGCATCTTGGCAGTTTAGGATCTTGGGCAAGAGATGGCAAGTAGAAATGTTTTCTTTTCTCTTTCTCTCTTTTTCTTTCTTTCTTTCTCTCTCTCTCTCTTTCTTTTTTTTCTTCTTTCTCTTTCTTTCTTTTTTGAGATGGAGTTTCGCTCTTGTTACCCAGGCTGGAGTGCCATGGCACGACCTCGGCTCACCGCAACCTCTGCCTCCTGGGTTCAGGCAATTCTCCTGCCTCAGCATCCTGAGTAGCTGGGATTACAGGCACGCGCCGCCATGCCCAGTTAATTTTTTGTATTTTTAGTAGAGACGGGGTTTCGCCATGTTGATCAGGATGGTCTCGATCTCTTGACCTCATGATCCACCCGCCTCAGCCTCCCAAAGTGCTGGGATTACAGGCATGAGCCACCGCGCCCGGCCATTTTCTTTTTTTGAAGACAGTCTCGCTCTGTCACCCAGGCTGGAGTGCAGTAGTGCAATCTTGGCTCGCTGCAACCTCCTGGGTTTAACCAATTCTGCCTCAGCTTCCCAAGTAGCTGAGACTACAGGTGCATGCCATTCTGCTTGGCTAACTTTTACAGTTTTAGTAAAAACAGGTTTTTGTCATGTTGGCCTGGCTGGTCTCAAACTCCTGGCCTCAAGTGATCTGCCTGCCTCAGCCTCCCAAAGTTCTGGGATTACAGGCATAAGCCACCCCACTGGGCTTTTTTCTTTTTGAGACAGGGTTTTGCTGTCACGCAGGTTGGAGTGCAATGAGTGGCAGGATCACAGTTTATTACAACTTCTGCCTCCTGGTCTCAAGTGATCTCCCGCCTCAGCCTCCTGAGTAGCTGGGACTACAGGCATGTGGACATGGGGTTTCACTGTGTTGCTCTGGCTGGTCTCAAACTCCCAAACTCAAGCAATCCGCCAGCCTTGGCCTCCCAAAGTGTTGGTATTACAGGAGTGAGACACCACACCTGGCCAAAAACATTCTCCCTTTTTATGTTTTCAAGGTTTTTAAGTGATTTCTCCCTTTTGGTAGACATTTTGATGATTTTTGGTTATTTCCTATTGCAAATGTTTGATTTAAATTGAACTCAAAACTGCTTACTAACAGTAAGATCTTTAAACAGGAAGATCTTTATTATTTCACTTTACTTGACGATATGGAATCAGAAGCTTTCTGGTCCCATCAAAACTTTGGATAAGTTACAATTTGTAGGGATATTCTAACTATAAAGCAAGGCTTTCAATGATTCCTTCCAAAGTTGAACAAAATTAACCTTATTCTTTAAATGATTAGGCATTTACCACTCTCAAATTTTTTTTTTTAATTTTTAATTTTTTTTTTTTTTTTTTTTTTTTTTTTTTTTTTTTTTTTTAGACACAGTTTTGCTCTTGTTACCCAGGCTGGAGTGCAATGGCATGATCTCGGCTCACTGCAACCTCTGCTTCCTGGGTTCAAGCAATTCTCCTGCCTCAGCCTCCCGAAGTAGCTGGGACTACAGGTGCGCACCACCACACCCAGCTAATTTTTTTTGTATTTTAGTAGAGACAGGGTTTCACCATGTTGGCCAGGATGGTCTCGATCTCTTGACCTTGTGATCTGCCTGCCTTGGCCTCCCAAAGTGCTGGGATTATAGGTGTGAGCCACTGTGCCTGGCAAAAATTTTAATTTTTTTTACCCTAAGTCATAAGTACTTATGCTCTCAAATTTTAGAAAGGTTAATATCAAAGACTGGAAATGTCCCTTTTCCACCAGACTTTCAAGGCTCTTAGAGTCACTGTGCATTCAATCCAGTCTCCTTAGCTATCCTTGTCTATTTCTTAAGTTCTTATAATCATGTGATGACTAAGACCAGATCCTGAATTTCAAGAATAAGAAAACAGAATTGTTTATGAAAGCCATTCAACCAAGGTTTTCTGGCTGTACTTTGGCTAATTAGAATACCCCATCTATGAATGTTCCAGTTTTTTTTTTTTTAAAAAAACTTTGTTAAGTTCAAAGTAGTTGGGGGATAGATGAAAATACATTCGGCAAAGCAGGTGTAATTTACTGCTTACTGTAGAATCTAGGTAGTGGGTATATGGATGTTCCACTTTAAGCTACATTTAACATTCTTTTCATAGTAATGATTTTTATAATAAAGTGTTAAAGAAAATAGAGTTGGGAAAAATCAAGGCTATTTTACTGGTTCACTCCAACATTATATATAATTTGAATATTTGCTAATTTTTTTTGCTAATAATTCTAAAAGCTCACTTATATGTAGCATACAGCACAAATAAGTTGATCTTATGAGGTTGTAAACTTTGAATCTCCTGAATGTTTTTCTCTGCATTTTCAAGTAGGTTCGTTAGTTGGTTATAACATCTAAAAAATTAGAACTCTAGTTAATGACAGAAATACCAAAGCCATTGTAAACAAGAGCTGAAAGATGAGAGAAATGATAATGTAATTAAGCACTGGCTTATTTGGGAAACGTGACAGATAACATTTAGTGTTAATGTTGACACAAATATTAATTCTTTTTTTTTTTTTTTTTTAAAGACAGGGTTTCACCATGTTGGTCAGGCTGGTCTTGAACTCCCGACCTCAGGAGATCCGCCCGCCTTGGCCTCCAAAGTGCTTGGATTACAGGCGTGAGCCACAGTGCCCGGCATATTAATTCTTGAGAATAATTAGAGAAGGGCGAAGACGTAAGTGGAGATTATAAAGATTCTGAAAAAGGCTTGGTTCGGTGGCTCATGCCTATAATCCCAGAACTTTGGGAGGCAAAGGCAGGAGGATCACTTGAGGCCAGGCATTGAAGACCACCTGGGCAACATTAGTGAGACTCTCCATCTCTACAAAACAAAGATTCTGGAAGGGATTTATAATGGTCCCTCGTTTGGGAAGAGAGTTAAAGAAATGAAAGTGGAATAACTGCAAGCAGTGAAAGGAAATGTGTTTATGACACATCGCCAGGCACAGTGGTGTGTGCTGGTCCCAATTACTTGGGAAGCTGAGGCGGAGGATGGCTTGAGTCCAGGAGTTTGGGGCTGTACTGTGCTATGCCAATTAGGGGTCCACACTAAGTTTGACATCAATATGATGACCTTCCTGGAAGGGGGGGCACCAGGTTTAGTAATGAGGGGTAAACTGGCCCGGGTTAGAAACAGAGCAGGTCAAAACTCCTGTGCTGATCAGTAGTGGGATCATGCCTGCGAATAGCCACTGCACTCCCATCTGGGCAACACAGCAAGACCCTGTCTTATAAAAAAATAATAAAAAAGAGATGCATGTCCTCAGGAAAGAAAGGGGCTGATTGAGGGCTACTTAAGGCTGAAGTGACTAGGGAGTAAAGGGTAAGGCAGTGTGCAACTCTTAACCTTTCACTGGTTCCTGCCTTTTAAAGCCTTTAATGCTGAATTAACACCAGTGGAGTAAATGAGATGCTAAAAGCATTGTTTGAAATTATCCCTTAAGTGATGTAGTTCCACTTTCTATGACAGACACTGAAACTACAATCTTTTGGTCAAAATAAAGGGTGAGGCCGGGCGTGGTGGCTCACGCCTGTAATCCCAGCACTTTGGGAGGCCGAGGCGGGTGGATCACCTAAGGTCTGGAGTTCGAGACCAGCCTGACCAACATGGCGAAACCCTGTCTAAAAAAAAAAAAAAAAAAAAAAAAAGTGTGGATGAGGTGTGATCACAAAAACCTCAAATGAGTTATCAGTTATATTTGACCACTGACAGGTAGCTTAGAGCNAAAAAAAAAAAAAAAAAAAGTGTGGATGAGGTGTGATCACAAAAACCTCAAATGAGTTATCAGTTATATTTGACCACTGACAGGTAGCTTAGAGCTTTATATAAAGGACTATTTGAACTATAAAATTTTCATCCATGTTTTTAAGTGGCATTAAAAAAAAATCCCATTTAATAGGATATATAGTATGAGTAAGAAATTATAAAGTGTAAAACAATATAAAAATTGCTATTTATAGAATGTAAAGAATTTATATAGTCATGCACTGCATAACAACATTGAGGTCAACAATGGACCACATATATGATGGTGGTCCCAAAATATTCTAATGGAGAACATATAGAAATCTGATATATGGCACTTAATGTGGCACTGCAGATCAAGTCATGGAAATATCACCATTACTGCTATTCAGTAATGGTGCTGGGACATTTGGATTTCTGTATGAAAAAATATATGTACATAAAAATATGCATACCATCTAGATTTGTGTAAGTACACCTTATGTTTGCACAACAGAATCACCTAATGATGTGTTTCTCAGAATGTATCCTGTCATTAAGTGATGTGTGACTATATCCAATAAAAACTGTAATGAATATCCTAACTAGAATATTAGAATTTTAAATTCAGCTACATTTAACATTTTAAGGCCAAAATTTTAAGGTTTACTGACAGCAATGAATGTTTAAAGATGCTTTTTCCTAATAGTCTTTTTGTTTGTTTGTTTTTTCCTAATAGTCTTATGAAATTATATAAATACTGGCCGGGCATGGTGGCTTACGATTGTAATCCCAGCACTTTGGGAGACTGACGCGGGCAGATCACAAGGTCAAGAGATCAAGAGCATCCTGGCCAACATTATGAAACCCATCTCTACTAAAAATACAAAAATTAGCTGGGTGTGGTAGTGCGTGCCTATAGTCCCAGCTATTCAGGAGGCTGAGGCAGGAGAATCGCTTGAACCTGACAGGCAGAGGTTGCATTGACCCAAGATCATGCCACTGCACTCCAGCCTGGCGACAGAGTGAGACTCCATCTCAAAAAAAAAAAAAAAGCGGCCGGGTGCGGTGGCTCAAGCCTGTAATCCCAGCACTTTGGGAGGCCGAGGCGGGTGGATCACAAGGTCAAGAGATCGAGACCATCCTGGTCAACAAGGTGAAACCCCGTCTCTACTAAAAATACAAAAAATTAGCTGGGCATGGTGGCGCGTGCCTGTAATCCCAGCTACTCAGGAGGCTGAGGCAGGAGAATTGCCTGAACCCAGG